AACAATGAAGATATGAGAAATGAATGCTTCAACCCACATTTATAGGCAACATAAATGGCTTTCGCGAAACCCAATAGCCATCATTAACTGCACGACCAACCGTAAAACGGTTCGGTTCTGCCGAAGCAAGCGTCATTATGACAAGCTCCGCAAAGCGACTTCTCAGCCATCCGCCAACGTACCGCCGTCAGAATAATCGCTACGGCCTGCGAACGTTGAAAGAATGTGCCGTACGCCTTCAAAATTCTGGACGTGACCAAATACGTACCTGGCGCATACTCATTCCCTACGGCCATCCCTAATGTATGAATGGCTACGGCCATCTCCAATATATGAAAGGCTACGACCATCCCCAATGTATGAAAGGCTACGGCCATCTCCAATATATGAAAGGCTACGGCCATCTCCAACGTGTAAACGGCTAAGACCGCCGCCGAGCACGTATCAAGCGTGCCCCCATTCTCCTCGGCCGCACAACATACGACCCGTCCGCCACGGCCGACGGGTATGCTTCCAAAACAAACGTAAGGATCAGAGTACAATGCAGCTCGACCTCACTCGAAGTAAGTTAAAAGGGTGCCTTCGCCCAGGAGGAGAGTTCGACCTCGATCGAACGATGACTTGATAGCCCAATAACAGGATACTAATACTCTACAAGGCTAAAGGCCATCGCCAAAAAAGAATTCGGCTTCGACCGAAGCCACAGTCGACATCCCCATCCGCGTTTCTCGAAATACAGCCAATGGAATCCACTCATCGAGCTCGGCCAAGGCCTGACCTCAATAAGCGGAGGGACTAACTGTATGGGTCAGAATTCGATCCCACGATAATTAACGAGGCTAATCCCGTCTTAAGTTAATTCATGATTAATTAGTGGCACGACCACTCAGAATTGACGATGTCCAACCCGCATCCGGTTCGATCTACAAGGCCATGGCCTATCCGCTACCATAAAGGCGAGATCCCAACGTGGTCACGATCACTTATCGCCAGCTCACGAAGCCCACAACTATAAATACCAAGAGGGGGAACCCAAGAAGGGGGGGGGGGGGCTGCTTCTTCACCACTATCGACAAGAGAGAGGGAGAAGAGAAAAATATACCCATTTTATGGGAAGAGAAAAGACCATTGTAAGGCTCTGAACCTCTTCATGGAGAGGCAGACCAAACCAATACCATTAATAAAGGCTTCTAATATTTCTCCCCCTAATCCTGAGTCCTTATTTTCGTTTCTTTCATTTGGTCCAACGGATTATTACGGTTTGCTATGATTTTCCCGTGATTTATTTATATTGTTTTGTACTCATAAGATACGTGATAACTTTTGAGCAAACAAAAGTGATATGCATATTCGCTGCAAATAAGTATTTACATTTGATCATTTGGGTATGAACTCTCAATTTTATTTGTAAGATTTTAGTTGATTTTAAAGTCTTAATTATTAGTATAATTAAATTACTATTTTGCCTAATGTGAAATCTATTTTTAAAGGGCAAAAAAGGCGAACGACATTTCGCTAAGGGCCTTCGTGCTTTTAATATAATATAGATATAGATTATTTACGAAAAAAATAGTTGTGACAGTTATAGCTCAATATGACATTACTAAAATAAGTATTATAGTTGAGTGAACTTTATTTGTTCTAATATTTCTCATATTATTCAACAGACTACTATTATAATAGAGAGAGTGAACTTTCAAATCAACTTTCTTTCCATCGAGTTTGAGAGGTTGAGAAAAAAAATTACGTGAAAAAAAAATGATAACTTCTTCTCTTTTAATTCAACGATGCTTACCTTTTAATCATTTTTCACTAAACAAGCGAAATGGGGTTCTTGCCCTCCGATTTACTTTCATTCTGCTAAGTTCTACCCCGTTCTTATTTCAACCAAAATAAGCTACTCAAAATGTTCATATACTCTTATATTATTATTAAAGCCACAAAATATTCGAAGAAACAGATCATAAACCGATCATGTTTCGACTAGTTTTAAAAAGGCCTCTATATGAACGATAGCTTAATAACTTAACGGACCTCCTCGTTTAGCGAATGTGTACCTATTTTAAATTATTCTTTTTTAATGATTGCATAGTAAATGGCGCCAAAGAGAATTTTGAGCTTATTATATGAAGTAATAATCACACAAAAGAGAATTGGTAATTATTATTCAAGCCATTTCAAATGGATTTGCACTTACGAGAAATTTTATTTTGAGTCTCATATGCTACATCATACTTATGTGAGGCTTTCTTATTACTTGACAAGTGAATTAACGGGGTCCCACTTACTAATTTTAATTGATAAAACTGAAAAAGGCAACTCAAAAGTCCATACTTTTCCTATTTAAGAAGCTTAAACTAAATATCAAAATAAGTAATAAAATACATAAATAATACGTGAATATGGTAATAGAGTATCTGCAATTATTGAGGAGCTAAAATCCCTCCCCCCCCCCCCCGTCCCGTCCGTTCGATCAGCACCTTGCATTCAGTTCATTTGTATTGAAAAAGATTTATTGAAAAAGAAGAGAAGCAAAATAAAGTTTTTACTCAAAGAAATAATATGGAGGATGGATATATATATATATATATATATATAATATATATATATATATATATTTATTATAATATATTATATTATATATATATATATATATATATATATATATATAAAACAGATCGAAGAAAACAACAATCTGTTGGATACATATCTCAAATATTGCAGATATTTTATTACTATTTTTACTATTATTTTATTACTTATTTTGGTCCGTAGTTAAGCATCTTAAATAGGAAAGGTATGATTTTTAAATTGTTTTTTAAAATTTTATCTGTTAAAGAAAGTAAGTGGGTCCATGAGTTTACTTGTCAAGTAATAAAAGAGACTCACATAAGTATGATGTGGCATCTGAGACACAAAATAAAATTTCTCAGCACTTACTACCTTAAAGCAGCGGAATGGAAAACGACAAAAGCGGCCAGGAAGATTAAACAGATAAATCAATAATGGCAGATTGGCAAATATGTTTGAACAATGGGGTAATTTCTTAATTGCATCTTTTGACTTTGAGTAACAATAATTCTGCAGGTAGCTGGTGGTTGCGGGGGTTTCATGTGAGGTTCCTTTGAGGTTCGCCTCTATATTTTATACCACAACTTTTGATTTAAATAATTAAAAGACAAAATTACCTATTTGCTTAGTTTTTTCTCTTGTGTCTAGTATTTGTATTGGATCAGATTAAATTAAAATATCTTTCTAATAAAGGCGATTTCATACTTTGGTGATTGGTGACATTAATTTGTGTTTTTTTTTGTTATTGCTAAAAAGGAGATAATATTATTAATTTGTGTTTTTTTTAATCTTTTGTCAAGATATTCCAAGTAGTGGGTCGTAAGAAATTTCGCTACAATTGTATTAGAAAAAATAATATTATACGTGGAATTAAGTACGTGGCTGACATGGCAAGACATGTGGATCACTAAAAAAGCGACAGTTGGAGAAGAGCATTAAACAAGACGTGAGTCTTAATAGATACGAGCAAAACACCCATGAGATGAGAATAAACGGTTGCGCGAGTCTCTTTAGCGATTTGAAGAGGCACCGGTGGAATGAACCAAGACAGTAAAAAGGGTAGATTCATTGGTCTTCAATTAATGAGCATGAATGATTACAAACGTCACAGAATCTTCACGAAACAGTTACGATTACCAACTATAACGTTTTATTAATGCCATTAATGAACATAGTGACTCAGTCATAAAAGAGGAAAAGAAATGTCATCTGTTTGTGCACGTTCTGATTATTATTGAAATATAATTACTTTCTTTTGCTTTCTACTGAATACTGTGCTGTTTCATATTCTAATTTCCTTTCTTATTATGAGAATATTGATTTTCTTGATTATCAGTAGCCTGAGTACTTCTAAAAATAAATTTTGACCGAAATTCCTATTTTTTTGGTTAAACAACAACAACGACAGCATACTCAGTATAATCCGATAACATAAGAAATTTCACCATATTTTAAAGTTACAACTTTACTAGTTAACTCCCATTTGAGTATAGCAAAGAGATAATCAATATAAGAAAAGGGAAAAAAGCAAAAAAAATATAATTATTTTTTGAGTTTAAGTTTTATACATTGCATGTGTCTAAAATTTTTACATTATGTAAAATTCATTTAAAATAAGAAGTAAATCTTCATCACAAGTCCAATATAATAACCTGAAAATTAAAAGCATACTAAAACCGATGAAATTGATCACCTAATAATATAAAATATTTGCACTATCAATAAATATAGCTTAAATCCTTATTTTATATACTATAAAACCCTTTCGCCTATAACTATAAGTCTATCATTCCCTACGTCCTTTTTCTTTTTCTTTTTACCTCCTGTCTCATTATAAATATTGAAATGCAGTATACTAAAGTGAGAAATTATTGTTCGTACATATTTTTTTTCCCTTTCAAGGAAAATTAGGTGTTGTTGCTTTGATATAGTCAATTCTAGGTTTGGTATGTGAGGTTCACTTGTTAAATCGACTAAGATCTTTAAATACACTATATATAAAAAATAAAATAAAAAGATTAAGGCAAAAAGACGTAAATTTAATATTCAAGGAGCTATAATATGTTTTGACCTTTTCAAACGGATTTCGAATAGTTGAATATCTCTAGCTTACCAACCACATATAGTCAACTCTTAATCGACTTTACTGCACGTGGTACCAGCCTCTTCATCTTAGAGAAATTAACACAGAAATGTTATTTTCGCTACTGTTTTTTTGCTAAATAAAACTAGTATACGTACCCGCGCGATGCGTGAATCGTTTAAAAGGGGAAAAAATGATATAGTAAATCTATATTGCAGACTAAATTTAGTAATCACATTGAAAAGAATTAAACTAAAAAATAAATATTTGAATTTCATCGGTTTGTATATATGCCAGGGACCAACAATTTTATGCAGTCACGCAAAAGTGAAGGATAAAGCTTGTCTCAAATTCAAAATAAAACCAATATAGATAATCAAGAAAAGAGCAGTAGTACATTTCCCTTTGGAGTGGTTGAAATTTCTTTCCTTCACAAAATAAGGACAATAAAAGCTTCTGGTCAACTTATTCAAAACCCTTTCCATCATTCGAAGCATAATCAATCACCGCTTCTACTCTTGCTGAAAAAATTTATATTCTCATTGAATTTTGTACAAAATGATGCGCCTTGCACAAGGTGTCATACTTGTGCAGCTCCCAGGGGGAATTACTGTCTTTTTGTTCAATGTTTCAACTACTTTCCCTGCGAATCCCATTCCATCTTTTCCTATTTCCATTGTAACATCTTTAAATTTAGCATCTTTTTCCCCAACATAGCTTGTTGCACTCTTGCTCTGTTCTGGAATGCTCTATTTTGCAATTTAAGCTGTCACGTCAGGGGAAGAAGTTTTTTGTTTCATCGGTTGTACTGATCTTCTCCTTAATCTTTCATGTTTTCGAGCAACAAAGAACATAAGGGAAAAATATAATATTTGCTCTGTCCAAAGGAAAAATAATTATTTGAAGTTTGAAATAAAATATAACTCTTATATAAAATTGATAACAAATCTGCCTGAAGGAATGGTGGTATCCTGTACCAGTATCACAATTGTCCTCAAACACAAGCCTGAATTTAGTTTTTATTGCTTGCTTCAGTTTGTCAATCCAGCTCGCACCAAATCACCACTAAGAATCTATGTCTTCCACTTCCCATTAAACATCTCATCATGAACTTATAATAAGCAAAAGTGATGAAAATGATTACCACTAAGAATCTATGTATTACACATTACCATAGTTTTTTATATGTGAAAAAATTATAGAAAATAATCACCACTAAGAATCTATGTCTTTCACTTCCCATTAAGCATCTCATCATGAACTTATAATAAGCAAAAGTGATGAAGATTGCACATTACAGTAGTTTTTATAATGTAGCAAAAGAGGTGTTTGATAATAATTAGGTACTTAAAAGTTAAAATTTAATACCTTCAAAGCCAATTAAAAGCGTTGTAATACTTTTGCGAGAACAATTTGAGTTCGCAAAAAATTGCCAATTGCCAATCAATGGTCTAAATTAAACTGTACATTGCATTGTAAAAGCTTAAACCTATTCAAAAATTTGACAGACCATGGCAGTTAAACTTATTTTACTTACCAGTCAATGCTACATTTACAACTTGACAAAAATAAAAAATAAAAATTGGCAAACAGTATACCTTTAATATGAGAATGATACTGGTATTTCCTCCGTTCCAAAGAAGAGGCCGATTAGCCAGCATTCGAGGGCCATGAGGTAGTTTACTTCTCATTGTGATAGAAAGATATTTCTGCATAAAATATATGTAACTAAGAAATATCGCTTATTGATTAAACTATAAATTACCAATGTTCCTTTTAAGATATCTCATAAGTCGATGAGTACGCGAAATATATATGAAAAGCATGTTACGGAAATACCATGACTCCACTATGTCCAGTCAAACCATATTAGAGATGCCAGAGTTCATAGTTTCCTATTTGCCATGTGATGTCATGCCAGCCATCATACTCCCTCGGCTAAAAACAATGAGGATCTATGTGCAAATAGGGAATGTATTTACCTGACCATGGTAAGTCAAGGGATTAAAATCAATATTCCGGGTATGGGGTAAGTATTCATTGACCAAATCATACGTGCTTAGATCAAA